AAAATTTTCCCCACAAATTCTTTCCGTTTTCCAGAGAATAAATTAATTGTATAGTTTTAGAATTAAAAATCAAAGCTTTTTGGGAATTAATCCTAGAATCTACTTGTCGTTGATGACCCAAGTTTCGCTTTCGTCTTTTATGGTCCGGAAAGCCTCCTATGTCTAATAAAGTAATTTTATTAAATATCTGTAGAGGTAATGAATCATGACAGAACTGATTCATAATTTCTATTTCCATGAATAATGATCTATTGTGTTGTTTCTCTCCGTTCTACGTAATTTTGTAGTATCACCTAAAAAAATATTTACCTTATGCTCTAAATACATTATCATCTTCCCATTAAAAATTCCCCAACTTGAAGCTTGTTGAGTAGGTAGTCTTCATCAAATTATAGCAGCCATATACGAAGAGCATGACTTACCTACATTTTGTGTTTACATAACGTTAACGAGTGACGTCACTACCAAATATGCTGGTACAAGATCAGGGGCACAGAATTAGCTAACTTAATCCTTCTCAATATCTCCACGAATAGAACCACGATATTAAGTTGCAAGATTTGGTGGGGATTTTGGTGACGAAATTTCTTATAGAGTAATCATGGCACAATGAACTTGATCGAAACTTGAAATTATAGTTAATTGTCTCTCATGCTATAAGTGTAGATAAATACGTTTTTGTTAGTATGCTGTCATCTTCTTTTGTTGTTGACCTGACTATTATTTGTTGTGGTAACAAAACCAGGGGCGGAAATTTCGGCGGTGAAGCCGGTGGAGCGCGTCGAAACTGACAGCTCCTAGGGGGCCACATATAGCTTTAAATGAGTCGACGTTTTTACTAATTCGTGGTATATAATTATAATTAGACAAGGCAGTACGAGACAAGAAAACAAGACAAATTACATACCATGAAACGAAACATTAAAGTAGTCGGGAAACTGCCCCAGAAGTAAAAACCACAATAAATCTTGAAAACAGTAATTTGTATAAAATCACTGTTCTTGTCCTTATGTTATAAAAATGTTAGGTTTAGTATTCAGCCTTGCGTTTATAAATCTATTTTTGTCTAAAAAATAATTCAGAATAATTTTCTGTTGTGTCATTTCTATGATTCAATGAAAAGTCTAGCAACTAAAATTTCAATATTAAAATTTGCGCGAAAAAGAAAAACCGCCTCTCCCACAATGGATAAAAATAATATTTCCCTTTACAAAATAATAATAAAACGATTGTCTAAAAATTGGAAATAATTCTGAACTCAATAAAGAATACTTGGCAAAGTGTCTCTTAATAAAAGATGGAAAAACTGTTAAAAAATGTATTCCTTTATTCAGCATTTTTCGATTTGTACGAGAGGGTAACAAAGTTTTGAATAAAAAAATTGGTATTGAATTACGTAAAAATCCAGTGAAAAAACACGCCAAAATTGATGGAAGGTCATGAAACATGTGAAATTAGTTTACTGATACCAATAGCGAAATCGTACCCCAGAGCACGAAAAAGTAGGTCTCTTGATTCCGTCTGTCTGTCTGTCTGTTTGTCTGTCTGTTCGTCTTCTGTGTCAACTTTTGCTAGACATATAATCTCTGCAACTACCGGACCGATTTTTGTCAAATTTTATATGTGTAATACGAATATCATGTAGATGGTAAAACACTAAGCAAACTTTGTCTAATCATCCCCACCAACAAAGTGATGACGTGACCTCAAAAATTATATATACTAAATGGGTTTTAAATTGTATCAAATGACATAGTCCTACACGTATAGGTTATGAATCCATTGATTTTTTACCTGAGACGTCGAGATTTTTGGAAAAAAAATTAAAATTACATAACATTTTACTATTTAATTTTCTTCAAAAGTCGTCATGAGCATGGTAAATAAAATAAGATTGATGACGCTAGCACAAAATTTTACTGAATAAATCCTACCTAAAATGTGTAAATTATCTTGAGCCTGTCCTTGTGATTTATCATTGCATTAATATTTTTTGTACTTGCTTATATAGAATGACTCAAAAAAAAAATCAGTGAGTCAAAGTATTTTAATGAATAAGCCAGGAACTGAAAAGGGGAATGCTTTGAAATCTTGCAAATTTTATGGTTCTCGTAATCATTCTACATCGTCAATCAAAATGCATTCATTTATCCCCTCCAGAAAATTCGTGACCTCATCGCAAAACTTTGTCAAATAAATCCTTTCTGAATTATGCAAAATATTGTCACTCTATACTTACGATTTTTTACTGAGTTCAAATTTTTTAGATTTGCTTATTCAAGTAGCTCAAAAAAATTAATTAATTAATCCATGTATTTGATTGATCAAATCAAGAACGGCTGACTTCATTTTCCCAAAAATTTGGGAATACAATACTGTTATTATTAGTATTACACTGCACCAATCAAAGATATACGTGTCCTTGCAAAAATATTGACGATGTCATTACAAAATTTTCTAAAGTAAAGTCTCATAACATTATACAGCTACGTATGTTTATTTAAAGTTACAGCTCTCATAAAAATAAATAAATTTCGCAAAATCAAATTTTATAATTTTTCGAAAATTTTGGATATGTTTCATTATACTTCAGGGGCGAGTAAAGTTCTCTTGAAACAACTTTATTTTTTTTCCCAAAAATCTGAATGTCAAAGGTAAAATCTGAACACCAACTTATAAACCACACTGCAGGAGTATAAATACTTATTGTTATTTTATTCTGAAGTTTCGTTCTGTGTCATTTTCAAATTTTCAATATTCATCAATATTTTCAATTGTTTACTGAATCAGATTGATCTGTTAGTAAAAAATTATCACTTCGAAGGTATAACGTGAGCTCCACCCACCCGCCCTATCTAATTGTGATGATTTTTCTTATTCGTCGTGAGCCAGCGGACAGAGCTTCATTCTAAAATCCTTATTTGTCTACAAGAAATTGCCATGTGAAACATATTTTTAAATAATCGTGTTTTTCAAAGAAAACTATGTGTATTAAGTAAAAAAGAAAGCCAAAGATTAAGCTCCACCTATAACCATCCGATCTCAATTGCGATGAACTTTTCATTGGTTGTCACACCGAGGGGCGGAGCGTTTTTGCAAAATCCATATTTACGTACAAAAATTTACCATTTGAAGCATTTTTCAAGTTTCTTGTTATGAAAAAAAGACAATTAAGAAAAAAATGGTAAATATGGCTTCTGCCCACCCACCCTATCTTTATTGTCATGATTTTTTTTATTCGTAGTGAGCCGGGGGACAAAGCGTAATTGTAAATTCCTTATTTGTCTATAAGAAATTGCCATGTGATACTAAGCAATCGTGTTGTTACAACAAAACTATAATTATGTATTAATTAAAAAAGAAAGCCAAAGATTAAGCCCCGCCTATAACCGCCCCGATCTCAATTATGATGAATTTTTTATTGGTTGTCACACCAAGAGGCGGAGTGTTTTTGCAAAATCCATATTTACGTACAAAAATTTACCATTCCAAACATTTTTCAAGTTTGTTGTTATGAAAACAAGACTACGTCTATTAAGAAAATTAGGTAAATGTGAGCTTTAAGATTCAGTATTTTCTCAGAATTTTCTGTAATCAAACCAGGAAATGTTGATCCGTGTCCACTTTATTCTATTTAAATGATTAGGGAATATGGAAACCCGCAGTGAGGAGGCGGAGCAATCTAACACTCCTTGCTGCTGGGTACCGACAATATTTTGCATGCGATAATGACTCTCGAGAATTACTTCATAGGTCTTTCTTTAGCGAATAGTTTATTAGTGAATGTTCTAATAAGTTCCGTATATACAAAGAATGAAAATGAAAAAATTTCTGCCAATAAAAAGATAATTAATAAATTTTATTAACCTACTTAAGTTTAATTCAAAACTCATTTATTAAATTTGCTCATCTCAGCTCAAGTAGATTTTAGGAAGAATTGCTAGCTTCAATTAGGGCATTTAGTCATCTGTTCCTAACACCAAATCCGTTCTGGAAACACGATAACTCTGAAGGCTGGTAGAAGAAACGTTCCACTTTGTATAAATATAATTTGAAAATGAACCCAAAATTCGGCAAGACTCATTGGATTTAATATCAAAGAGAACAAAATCACGAATCATTCCAATCGGGCAAGTGAAATAACTCAATTGTCTAAAGCTAGAGTGTGTGACCAGGTACTTATAAAAATTACAGAACATTCAAACTCTTCTTCAATTGACCCTTATCTTTAGCTTGGTTCTATACTACAATTTAGTATCAAATTTAAGATAGATTTCTCTATTTTTCACATCTGTTGTCATTAAATCATTTCACTATTTATGGAACACCTGTCAATAATTTCGAGGAATTAAGGTAACATAATAAATGCACATACAATAATGCAGAAATGTTGAAAAATGTGTTATTGCAAAAATACTATATCCCGAAATCATCTGTGATAATAAATAATAATACAGTAAATATTTACGGTTAACCGAATTCCGAGAACCAAAAATAATTAAGGCTATAAACCAAAGTCTAAAACTTTAAATTAAAGGTTCTTCAAGGCAAATATTAATTTAAAGGATTAATAAATCTGTTTACACCATTACGAATGCGTTACTATTTTGTTGAATAATTAAGACCTGCTAGAAATAATTACGACAAAGCTGGTGACGTTTTCAAGAATAATTAATTATCTTACTATGTTGCAATATTCGTTCTACATATAAGGTCGGAGTACCAGAGCAAGCAAAAATATTTACATTGTGTTCTAAATTCATTATCATCTTCACAACAAAATTCCCCAACTTCACGATTGGTGAGTGGGTTGTCTTCACCAAATTATAGCCATACAGGAAGAGTATGACTTACCTACATACTGTGTTTACATAATGTTAATTAGTGACGTCACAACTAGGCGCACAAGGTCAAGGGTGCACCACCAATCCGCTAACCCAAGTCTCCCTTTTTCCCTTTTTTTCCTCATTTTCAACCTTCATCCAAAAACAGACCCTTACCTATATTAACCAGCTTGACCCCATCCTGCTCGATAGCGCTCAACGCCGTCGTGACGTTCTCCAGGTAGTGGTGCTGGTTGGCCGGCCTCTTGTTCCACGCGGGTTTCAGCGGATGCCCCCTCAGCGCCTCCACCAGCGCGCACAGCCTCACCCCCGTGCACAGGTCCTGCGACAGGTCCGCCACCCTCAGGTTCTGCGGCAGGTGTTCGTTCACCCAATTCCTGAAGGTGTTGGCCTGTATTTCCACCCACACGTCCTCGTTGCCCTTGATCTGCATGCCTCGGGCCGCGTGGCCCTCAGGGCTGCGGGCCAGGAGGCCGCTGTGCGAGATTTTTCCCTCCATGGGCACTTTAGCACTGCACTAACAACACACGTGACGCCGTCAAACTTCCATCACGCTCGCTCCGGTGCGCTCCGGACGGAATCTGCGCGGCTTGTGCGGGTTGCGCAAGCTGTACCTGTATGGCGATGGCGCGCGAGGAAAGCAGTTTTGATGCAAGGTTGGCAGGACTGGGGGGCGACGCCTCTTGGATTTTATTATTGCGTTCGAAGATAAACATGAGAGGCGTGGAGCGGAGAGAGCGATGCTGGGTTAAGCGGCGAACGTGCTGAATACGAATGTGGATGCGTACCAGCGGGAAATGGTAAGCAGGCTGGCAGAGGTAAACATGTAGGAGAGGTTTATTTTTGGAGAGTTATCAGGGTCTGCGGATTTTTGCCGGCGGAATGGTCGCGTAACCAAAACAGCCGAACGTTTCTAAAGGCTGTGATCTAACTAGTAGTTGCAGCTTAAATAATATCAGATATGCAGTACGAGTCGTTGTTTCTGTTTTGTATTCTGCTGTTTTCTGCTTGAGATGGTGATCCTAACTCCTCCTGAAGAAGTATTTATTGCATTCATTGTGTATTTAAAACGCAACATCTAATAAAATTATCAACACACACTTGAGCGCTTTCAAGACTTTTGTATTCATCATTTTTCTTTTTCCTGTAATAAATCAGTAAGTTCTGTTAATTTAAGATTTCCGTGTTCTGAAATATGATCATTGCTTTAAAAATGACTTGAGGTTAATATTAATCACGTTTATTAAATAAATCAGACTCAGTTGAACTTGTCATTTGACAAGATAGTAAGGTTTTGTTCTATTTACTGGCTGACCGACGTAGGCTTTGCGACCCCGTGATTAATTGATTAAAGAGACAAGGTTAAACTTTAACATTTACTATAAAGTGTGTTAAACTTGCCTCCAAGTGCTTTTAATAATAAATTTTGCCTGTAAAGTTAAAAAAAAATTGTGATTACGTCTACCATGTTGTAACGTAAATATACTCTCGACAACGCGACAGTAATTTACAAAAGAGTCGTCCAAAATATATACCGGGTGTCCGGAAAATGGCGGATTAACTCTAGAGTATGTTATGTAGATTGCGAAAAAAATATAATTTTATAAAAATAAAATTAGCAACATTGCACACGCATAATCCGTGAATACCTCCGGCTTACTTGTTGATTTCTTATAGTAACGATGGTGACTGAAATCCACCTTTTATTTTTTTAGGACAATAATCATAACAACCAGTGGTCATTAATCGGTGTGCATTATTATTAATAAAACAAGCTGTTATTTTTCATTAATAAATAAAACAAAAAAACATTTAATAAGACATTAATTTATATATTATAAACAAAGCATACCAACTAAAACACCTTCTAAGAACAGAGAGGGTGGGTGGGCGGGAATAGTATCTGCTAAGATAAAATCGATTTTGGCAAATGACATACCCTCTAAGAAAAGACAGGGTGGGTGGAGGGGGCTAGTACCTGCTAAGATAAGACTGATTTTGGCAAATGACGTATCCTCTAATAAATTTAATTAAAAGAAAAGACATTAGCGGCTCCAAAGCACTTTCAAATTCTTTCCAAACAGGAATACCTAGAACCTCAAGATTGTTTTAAATTTTTCAAAAAAAAAAAACGGGGTCTCGAAATTAACTCAAAAACAGGTCAGGTCAGCATTTTCCAAAAATAGAACGCCAACTCCTCCAAAATTGTTTTAAATAATTTACAAAAAGATAGCCATGGGCGCCCAAAATAATTCACCATGGGTTCCCAAGTGTCTTCCCAATTTAAAAAAAAAGAAACAGCGGCACTCAAGACAATAAAACACTAAAACTTCAAAAGATTTTTTCAATTTCATCCGGCAATAGAACACTAGATTCCTGAAAATTTATTCGAAAATAAAACACCAGGGGACCTAAAATTAACTGCGAACATTTTAAATGTAGGGTTTTGAAAACTTTAACAATTTTTGATACGTCAAACATTTTTAACTGCTTACTCGGTTTTTGCTGATTTGTACCTTCGCTTTATATAAGGTAAACATTGTTGTCAGATGGAATTATATCAAATTATTACAAAAACAATACAACCATATCTTTTTACATTCTAACTGAAGTGGTAATTAAACATGGTCATGGACGAGAGAAATATTAACTAAAAGTTTTATTACTAGTTACTGTAATAATAATGAATGTGTCGTTTAGTTATTAAACGTAAGAAAATAACCAATTTTATAGCTATTAACATATCTGGGACGTAAAGAGTGCCGTAACCGCCGCAGTGGTCCGTTTGAAGCCCGAGCGTGATAGAGGATTTTAAGATGGCACTGTTTACATCGGTGGTGTGTTCAAGATTTTATCGGTTTCTGCCCATTTTAATCCAATAATCCAAAAATTAATTAAAAAATAAATAAATTTCGTTGATCACGTTTGCAAGATGTATATTTCGGTGTCCTAGTTGCACTTTGTGGTTTATTCAAAAAAATTTTGTGAACAGAATTAGAAAAATTATGGATTTAGGCGACGTATTGCCCGAAAATGTTAAAAATGTAGCCAGTCAAGCATTAAACAGTTTAAATAAAATCGGTAAAGTTACGACCTGCCAATCATAATGACAATAAGGTATAAGACTACAATGTTTTTCTTTAATGTCAGAAAGTTGTCGTTTGAAATTCCGTGTCCCAAACTGTACATTTATTGCTTTTCACATTCAGTGCTTTTCAATTCCTGGACAAATGTTGACAATTAACATTTCGGTAAGGTAATATATTACCCTACTGATTTTACATACAGAATACAGTTCTGGCTTTCCTACCAGCCAACTTTTATAAATATAAACAGGCATTAATAGATAGAAACCGGTAAAAATCATTAGAACTCCACTGAAATGATTTGATTTTTAAGAGCGTAGCGGAGAGTTAATCGGCCATTTTCCAGACACCCGGTATAGTAATTTGATTGGCAACCACTTTCGTATATGCAAAGAACCCTAATGAAAAATGAAATTTATCATACTAGGTTAAGTTGTTTTAATGTAAGGTTAGAAAATTTGACAAAAGCTGTAACACTGGTGTCAATATTTCACAGTTTGTATTTTCCATTCCAATAAGTAAGTACCATTCAAATTTTATTTTAGGATTTAATAAGCATAGTCAATATAATCAAATTTAAAATTCACATTTGAATAAGTATTGATTACGAGGGGCGTTCAATGCATTCTCGGTATCTGGTAATTCTGATAACTATTTGGATAATTTGATCACTGAATAAGAAACATGCGTTTTTTATAGGCGGCCATGCAAAATTTCATGTTATTTGGATCTTTTGTTTTCTGGCAATTAATTGTCAAAGTCGACAAAAATGGCTGTTCCGAACATGAGGCAAAAAATTGAGCACCGTGCTGTAATAAAATTCCTTACAAAACAAGGAAAAAACCAAACAATTATCTTCGACGAGATGAAGAGTTTATGAAGAGTCTACGCCTTCATTATCCACAGTTCAGAAGTGGTCAAATGAATTTAAAAGGGCAGAGAAAGCATTCAAAACGACCCTCGCGAGGAACTTGTATTGGAAGATGCCCGAGTCAAGATCAAAACTTTAGGAGAAATGACTAGTCTCTCTGCAAGTACCGTTCACACAATTCCCCATGACTATCTAAACCTCTCAATGGTCTGTGCAAGATGGGTACCACGAATGCTCACAGGACCTCAAAAACATGTTGAATGCTGTAGAGAATTTTTAGAGCTCTGTAGTGAAGACCCATAGAATATTTTGGACCAGATTGTCACTAGTGACGAAACCTGGGTTCATCACTACGACCCTGAAAGCGAACAAGAATCCATGCAGTGGCATAAAAAGGGTACAGCCCCTCCAAAGAAGTTCAAAGTGATCCCATCAGCTGGAACGGTTTTTGGGACTTTTGCTAATTAAATACACGAAGAAAGGGGAAGCCATAAATGCACAAGCTTATGCAACAACTTTGAGTAATTTAAGGGCCGCGATTAAAGAAAAAAGGTGGGGAAAACTGACCACCAGTTCACAAGGCGCCCATTTAAAAAAAAAACTTCGCGGAAAGCGATTTTCCAATGATGAAGAGGAAGAAAATTATTTTTTTACAGGGATTGAAAAGTTAGTTCACAGATCTCACAAATGTGTAGATGGTATGAGCGTTTATATTGAAAAATAAAGTTTTGTTTAAGTTTTTTTGCAATTCCCTTCATAGTGATACCGAGAATACATTGAACGTCTCTCGTAAGTTTTAAGTTCAATGATCCATATCAACATTTTTGATTAGGTATATTATATAATTAATTATTCTTAGCAGTTAACATACAATAATAAAAGGAGTATACAACTGAACAATATGTCTACATCGCTTCTGCACGCTTCTTGTGCTTCAGAAGTTGTTAATTCTAGTTCTAGTCGATGGTGCTCAAAATTTGGAATACATGGATCAAGAGACAAAAGGCAAACTGTATGTTTTTACAGCTGTTTGAATAATAATTTTCAAAAGGTAACCGTTCTCAGGCCAAAAATAAGCTGTAATAAAGTCTACCCAATTAAAGACTAAATGACGAATTCTGTATACTTACATGATGTTGTAAATTTTTTTGTAAATAAAATGTGGAATGCTTCACTTAAAAATTTGTGAACTACATATGCAGTAAAGAATGGTAATACCTCTGTTCCTTTTAGTTAAACAATTTCTAAAATTAAAAAGAAGAATTTGGATAATTGTCATCGTCCTCTGATTCTGACTTTGAATCAGATTCATCTAGTAAAATACTGGAAGGGAAATATCTTCATACGAAAAATTTCCCATATGTTTTTTCCAGTCTGCCAAAATAAGTTTTTCACAATACTTATTTTGTTAAAATTATTTTTAACTTCAAAGAATGTTCTGTTTAAGACACAATACACGAATTAGTTTTTTTTTAATGAAGCATCTATATAACTTTACATATTTTAATGGACCTCTTCTTAGGTTATATATATTTATTTTTGTAATTACGATGCGACGTTGCCACGTTTTTCCAATTTTCTTCAAAATTTTTATCAATGGAAAAGTACTTAGGGACTTTTTAGTCATATATTAAAAAAAAAATTGTTATTCAGTGTATTTTCATTCTTAAAAGCATTTGATTTTATCTCTGATTAAGTTAT